CAGTCTGCCATAGCACCAGTAACATCACGTGAGCTTGCACTTTGACGGTCCATTGGAGAAACCATGAACTTCAACTGGTCCTCAAACGGCAGTCCCTTCACAGTGTCGATAATTTCGGCATTTCCCAACTGACCGGTGGGGTCACACAGGAAGAACAAAGGGCTGACCTTGGCAATTTCCAAGACGCGCTTGATCAGATATTCGAAAGGTACACCTGGTGGGAAGTAGGCGGCGAATTTCCGGAAAACAGATTCAGGTGGGAAGATGCCCGCCGCACTCAGCGGTGGGGGCTCCAACTTCATAGCCTGCTGAATATACGGAAGGTCAACCTCTTCGAGACAGGAGATCAGGCCTACGTTAGGCTCCTCGCTTGTGCTTTCCGTGACGTTGGCTGGACGATATCGACCAGCACGTCCACCAATTTGTTTGATCTCGGGAACAGTAAGCCGTTGAAGTCCAGTCGGGACACGCTTAACGAGGGTGTCAAAAATAACACGCTTGCAGCTCCTATCAAGGGGTTAGTATGAAAGCGCAGATATAACGATGGCAGAACTCACAGGTTAAGACCCATACCAATCGCGTCACTTGCCACGAGGTAGTCATAGTCATTTTCTGGGTCATTGAATAGATTCGCCTGTTGAGTCCGAATCTCTGCTGGCAGACCACCGTAAACGATGGCTGCGCGTCTTCCGGTGGTCTTCTCAATGTCTGCCTTCATAGCGTGTATACCTTTCCGAGAAAAGACGACTATACAGTCACCTTTTTCAAGGCTATTGAGATTTCCCTTTAAACTGTGCGGCATCACTTCCAGGGCGTTCAGTCGTTCGTAGCGGTGGACCTCCAAATTATCTCCCGTGAGTGCACATAACTCCCGAATCAACGGTATGGAGCGGGTTTCACCGCACAGGTGCAGTTCTGCTACCTGAGCACCAAGGAAAGCTCGAGTCCACGCCCATCCTCTTGATGAGTTAGCAATCATTTGGATCTCATCGATCACGCCAACATCGTATTCCTGCCCCAGGCTGACCATTTCCACCGTATTACTAGTAATGCGTGGCACTTCATCACCCTCGGGGAACTTGACATCGTCACCAGTAACGAGACTGCATGGAACCCCATCTGCCTTGAAACGATGATATACTTCCTGCGCGAGCAATCTCAGCGGGCCTGCGTAGAACCCATTCTTGCTTTTCGCCAGCCGCTGTAGTGCATGGTAGGTCTTTCCGGAATTTGTCGGCCCGACATGAAGATGGATTGTTCGTTGCATCGATCGTGCCCGCGGATACCACTCGGCTGGCCATCGAAGGTCGGCCACTTCTTCCTGTGCTTCCAGAATGGGTGCCGAAAACCTAGCAGTGAGACTTTCCGAATACTGCATGTATTCTACCTCCTCCCGCAACCCCTGAAGTCCGGAGGCGAGGTAGGCTTTTTGTAGCGCTACCTTGATTTGTCGAAGGGGTCCCCATTGTGCAGATGCCTTCTTATCATCTGATTTGCAGGCGTTTTTGATTTGGCGTTCGAATTTAGACCATCCTTCTAGTGAGTCGCCTGATTTACTCAACTTGCTGTGTACATCGCGCAGGGTTGCTTCCACCAAGTCGTTGAAATCTCGCGCGGCTGCAATATCCTGTCGGATAGACCTCGAAACCGAAGCCCCCACAAGTGATTTGCCTTTTTTTGTGTCGGATTTTTTGTCCGAGATACCGGGTTTGACCTTTTTCGATCGCTGAAGAACCGAGGTTGTGGTGAAAGGTCGTATAGCGAAACGAGTCAAGGGTCGCAAAGCGCAGAGGGAACGACTACCGCCAGTCCATGGCTGCATTCCTGGATGACGGGATCCAATCCCGTATATAGGATCGGAACAAAGAAATGTGAAAGTTGGAAATCAAAGAGGATAGAGGAAATAAAGAAGGAGATCAGAGAGAAACCAAAAAGTTCCCTTATCGAGCCGATCCACTTTAAAGCTCCAATGGTGGGGAAAACCATCTTCCCTTCATATACCTCAGACGGCCACCTAATTCTTCCCCTTGAACTGATCGTCTTCTCTAAGTCAATCCTCTTTATCGTCTACCTCGTTCTTTTCTATTTCTTTATTTGCCTCACCCTAAAGCCCCAAGGTGTGGGCTGCCCGTCAGCCATGGGCTCCTCGATCATTAACATTCAACGCGACTGTGGGTGACCACCTTCTACTACCTCCTACAAGAACCCTAGCTGACATTGACCTGTCTGGAATAGTTATACTCAACACGATCCGCAATGCCGGTGGCCACGAGGTGAGCCCGACCCCTCCGATCAACCCGTCTACCGCGGATACTGACAACACCCCTCCCCCTAATAGTGGAAAGTCTTGGTGGTGGATGAGACCAGCAAGAAATTGGTCTATGGTGCTGTGAAGGAGGAGGAAATTCTCAATCTCAATGTTTCCAGTGAGCTCTTGTTCTTTGCGACCCAAGAAATCTCACTAATGCCATACCGCAGATGTCGAGCAGATCGAACATCGACGACCGTCCAACCCCGATATGGCTGCGCTGTACATATTGTCCCCGGAATCCTATGTGGTCGACTGTCTGATGGCAGATTTTGAGGTGGGCCGATATAGAAAGGCATTCTTGGTGTGGACTTCATGTTAGTGGGCTGGTGAACCTGAGACCGTTAGACGTCATTCCGCTCACACAGCTTATAGCACTCGATCCGCAGCAGCGATCTCGGATTGACCGATCTCAAATGGCGCGTGAGCGCATTGCAGACTTTCACGTCATGAGCATCAATTTCTACCCAAGAGAATCGCGCTTGGTTACATTCCGGGATCCGTGGAGCTTCCCGATACTCTTCCACCCGGGTTGCAACAATTTGATTCGGCGTCATTTGGAAGAATTGGCCCAGAAGGTAAGATATGCTCTCCGAGTATGGTTGAGCTTGCTGACGTTGAATCAAGGTCGTCTCTCTTTGCGCTTCCCTGGGCGAGTATCCTGTAATTCGGTACTATCGGCCCCGATCTCCGACTCACGAGGCCGGGGTTATGTGCTCGCACTTGGCACGTTTCATTCAAAATGAATTGGATCAGTTCGCGCAGCAACAGCGTGACTTTCCGCCTCAAACAAACCGCCCCCGAGGCGTACTGTTCATAGTGGACCGTTCCATGGACTTGTTCGCACCCCTCCTTCACGAGTTTACATACCAGGCCATGGTCCATGACCTTCTTCCTGTCACGGAGGGAGACAAGGTTACCTACAAAACAGTGTTAAATAAGGGCGCCAAAAATGAGGAGGTCAAGGAGATGGAGATTGGCGAGGATGATCGAGTCTGGGTAGACTACCGCCATATGCATATGAAGGATGTGCTTGGGAAACTGGGCGAGGACTTTGCCAAATTCCGAGCAGCAAACCCTCAGTTCGCAGATGAGTGAGTCTCGGCCTTCCCTATGCTGGAGTCGGACTACTAACTTGGGACTCTAGTAACGACAAATCTAATGTGAACACCATCAAGGATATGCTGGGTGGACTGACAGAATTCCAACAGGGCAAGGATGCTTACACGCTGCACCTCAACATGGCAGAAGAATGTATGAACTACTTCCAGTCCCGCAAACTCTTAGAAGTGAGCTCCACCGAGCAGTCATTCGCCACGGGTCTTGATGAGAACTACAAAAAGGCAAAGAACTTAGCAGCACAGCTCGTGCAGCTCCTTGATGACGACGCAGTTGTACCACCAGATCGCCTTCGACTCATACTTTTGTACATCATCTACCGTAATGGACTGCTAGGTGGCGACATTCGAAAACTGATGGCCCACGCTGCACTCCCACCTCACGACGGCGCGGTGATTGCCAACCTCGAGCTCCTTGGAGCTCGTGTCGAGAAGCCTCTCAAGGATGAAAAGCCACCGCCAGTGCAGCCTCTTTTCAACCGAAGAAACCCACCACCCGAATCAGAGGAGCTCAGCCTGAGCCGGTACGAGCTAGCTCTCAAGCAGATGCTCGAAGACCAGATTCATGGCAATCTGGACGCGACTTCCTTCCCCTTCACGCGCCCGCACACTGAGACGGACAACGTCATAGCTGCCCAAGAAATGCAGTCACAGCAGGCCTCTTTGCGCAGCGCAAAACCGACCTGGGCACGCACAAGATCCGTCGACCAGCCTCGACAGCGCATAATCGTCTTTATGGCCGGTGGTGCCACCTATGGCGAGTCAAGAGCCTGTTACGAAGTCTCAGCAGCATACAACAGGGACATCTACCTGGCTACGACGCACATGCTGACCCCCGGTCTCTTCCTCCGCCAGGTAGGCGACCTTAGTGTTGACCGGCGGCGACTCGACCTCCCATCCGAGCGTCCCAAACCTACTGCTCCGGCCCATCTCTTCGAGCGCGAGGCCCCTCCAGCTCCCACTCCGCCACCACAGAAGAAGAAACCCGTCTCAACGGCACACCTCAACCCCCCAGCTCCACCAGAGGCATTGATGGCTGGTATGTCAATAAAGCCAAACGGAAGCGGAAGCAGCCCGGCCTCTGGTAGTGGGAAGCACGACAAGAAAGATAAGGAGAAGAAAGACAAGGAGAAGAAGAAGTACCGTTTCTTCAAGTAGCTTTCTTCTTTTCATTTCTCTTGATCCCACAGCGCTTTTGTGATACCATTCTTTTCCTTATCTTTCTGTTGGTCTGGTCTGGTCCCGAGCATTCAAGGCGCTATTCTCAGCGGTTTTTTTATTTCTTTCCTAAGACGAGTCCTATCAAGACTTGGGTCGTGGGATTTTTTTTCACTGCACTACAATGCATGCTAGGTAGAATCTGGACACCAGTTTCAAGTTGCAATACCTAGTACACAGTAAATATTCAAATCAAGCACTGAAGCAAAATCAAATGCAGTATCTCCATTTGAAACCAATACCACATAAAACTACACAACATAACAAAATAACAAGTGGGGGTATCATCAAACACAAAAACAAAACAAAAAAGGAGCATATCCAACACTCCACCATCTATCCATAAAATCCATCACCTAAATTCCCTCTCCTAGATACTTCAAAACCTCATCATTCTGATAAAAAGCCTTCCTAATCCTCTCCGCTCTCCTCTTATCATCCGCGGCCTTTTTCCGCACTTCCTTAGGATTAAGCTTCTGCACCTTCACCGGTGGCAGGCGTGGCGGCAACGGATCGCCATCTTGGTCAAGCCCAGCCCCTAATCCAGCAGTACCAAGCTTGACGCGAGGTTTGATAGGTTCACGAATACCCTCACGGCCGGATGCACCGAGCCCAAGCCTGCTATCAGGATCCCAGCCGTATGTGGAGAGGTATCGGAGACCTGAGCGGGTGCGATCGAGGTGCGATGGTGGGTGGGAGTGAGCGAGACAGGTTTGATGTGCGAGGGAGGCTTCGTGGGGGCGCATTTTTTTGTCTGTTGCGTCTGCTGGGTCTTGTGGTTGGATAGGTAGGTTGCACACGTCGCAGTATTCTAGGGCTGCGGGGGCTGTCGCCGCTGTGGATGGAGGCGGGATTGTGTCTTCAATTGGCGGCGCGGACTGTGTACGGATTGGTGGTGACGGTGCGGACTGGGTTGGTGTGCTTGGTGATGTGTTTGGGGCCGACTGGCTCATCACAATAGAGAGGTACCTATCTGCGATGCTGGTGCCGGAGGAGGAGGGTGCCACTGGTGCTGCTGTTGTGTCTAGATCGGAGGAACGCACGAACTGCACGCGTTTTCGGCGGACGCCAGAGCTGAAGGGACGCACATCCTCCGGTGGGATGAAGTAGTCTTCGTCTTCGGAGGCCATGGTTAGGGATGATAGAGCTGTGAAGAGTAAAAGAGAGAAGAAAAGAGGGCTTGGGGGGCGGAGCGGAATTAAGGTGGCGATAAGATAAGCGGAGATACGTGTTACACGCGAAATCCCTTTGGACACACACCTGTCCTCTCTTTCCATCTTCACATCTCAATTAAAAATGCCCATCCCCATCATTGCCCAAGCCCTTCGGGATGGCGTTTCATCCATTCCACATGCCTGGACATTCCTCCGCATAGCACCATGGGTGCTAGCCCTCGCAGCACTGAAATACTATTTCGAAGGAGCCCGCAACGGCTCCGAGCGAATGATGCGATCAAAAGTGATAATGGTAACGGTAAGCTACCCCTCCAGCTCTGCATCACTATCTAATTGACCAAGCTAACAAAACAAACCAGGGCGGCACCTCTGGGATAGGTGCAGAAGTAGTCCGCGAGCTCGCAACACGCGGCGCCCAAGTAATCCTCCTAACCCGCCAACCACCCTCTGACATCTACCTCTCCGAATACATCGACGACCTGCGCACCAGCACAAAAAACCATCTAATCCACGCCGAACAAGTCGACCTCTCCTCCCTGCACTCAATCCGCACTTTTGCAACAAAATGGATCGATAACATCCCACCCCGCCGACTAGACTGCATAATCCTCGTCGGCGGAACAGCTGAGCCCTCCGGACCCCGTGCTCTAACAACAGACGGCATCGACATCGAATGGCAAACAAACTACCTCGCAAACTTCCACCTCCTCAGTATCCTCAGCCCAGCACTACGCGCTCAACCCGCACACCGCGACGTACGCGTGATCTTCGCAACATGTGCAAGCTACATCGGCGGCGACTTCAGTAATCTGGACTCTGTGGCGCGCGGGAAGCAGAAGGTTGTTTCCAAGCGCACAAAGACTACACCGCCGCTATACGCGCAGCCTAAGGGCGTGTACGCTCTCAGCAAGCTCGCATTGACTATCTTTGCGCACTCATTCCAGCGACATTTGAATGCTTATGAGAGGCCGGATAGTCTGCCACCGTGTACGCGGGTTATCGTTGTTGATCCTGGGATGACGCGGACACCGGGGACACGACGCTGGTTGACTGGCGGGTCGCTGTGGGGTCTTGCGTTGTATTTGATTACTTGGCCGATATGGTGGCTACTGCTGAAGTCGCCTGTGCAGGGCGCGCAGAGTATATTGTATGCGGCGATGGAGCAGCAGTATGGACGGGGAGGGGGTGGGTGGTTGATTAAGGAGTGTCGGGAGATGGATTATGCGCGGGCTGATGTGCGGAATGATGAGGTTGGGAAGAAGCTTTGGGAGTTTAGTGGGAAGATGGTTGAGGAGGCGGAGAAGGAGAGTGCTGTTATGAGGGCTTTGCTGAAGAAGGAGCTTGAGCTTGAGAAGCAAAAGACTGAGGCTGAGAAAGTGAAGAAGGAGAAGGCGGAGGCGACTTCGAAGAAGGGGAAGGCTGATGGGTCGAGGAGGAGTCGGAAAGCACAGAAATAAGTGAAGATATGTATACCTGTTTTGTAGGTATAGTATGATACGACGTATGTATAGACTTGGTTGAGAGGGCTGTTACTCTACATAAGAGAAGCTCAAATTTATAGACCAAAGCATCACAAAAAAGGAAATTCGTTTCATGTATTCTACCAACTAAATCAAGGTCTTCTATATCAACAGACACAAGATTATTTTCAACCACAAAACATGCCTGGCACCTCAGCGAAGCAAATTTACTTCTTAAGCTGAGCAAGCAGCTCAGCAGGGGGCTGCTGGCGGTAACCCTGGGGGTTGTTCTTAGTCCAGAGCCAGAGATCCTCGCAAGCCTGCTCGAGGGTACGCTCAGCCTTCCAGCCGAGCTCGGTGTTAGCGCGGGTGGGGTTGGCAGTGAGGTTAAGGACATCACCAGCGCGACGGGGAGCAACCTCGTAGGGCTGGTCCTTTCCGACGGCGTTGGAGAAGGCACGGATCATCTCGTAGACGGTGCTGCCCTTGCCGGTACCCAAGTTCCAGGCGCGGACGCCGGGGTTGTTGGCGCGGAGGTAGTTAAGGGCCTTGAGGTGGCCATCTGCGAGATCCAGGATGTGAATGTAATCGCGGATAGCGGTTCCGTCGTGGGAGGCGTAGTCTAGCGTGTGTTAGAATGGGAAGCTTTGCTAATGAGAAGAGTGGATTTGCATACCATCACCGAAGACCATCAACTTCTCGCGCTTGCCGGTGGCAACCTGGGCAAGCAGAGGGAGCAGGTTGTAAGGGACACCCTGGGGGTCCTCGCCCATGATACCACTAGGGTGGGCACCAGCGGGGTTGAAGTAACGGAGCAGAGCACCGTTCCACTTCTTAGCCTCTTCCTCGTTGCCGGCCTTGGTGGCGTTGTTGCGCTGAGCGTTAATCACGTCGGTGATAGCGGTCTCGACGGCGAACTTGGTGTTACCGTAGGGGTTGGTGGGACCCAGAGGGCAGTCCTCGGGGATGGGGATCATGTTAGGGAAGCGGGTGGCATCGCCGTAAACGGTGGCGGAGCTGGAGAAGACAATGTTGGTGACATTGTTCTTCACCATGGAGCGGAGGAGGTTAATGGTGCCGTAGACGTTGACCAGGTAGTAGTCGAGGGGCTTCTCGCCAGACTCGCCAACGGCCTAGATTGGGACAATTGGATTAGCTCTTGGATCATATAGGGGTCTATGCTTTCATCGGATACATACCTTCAGGGCAGCGAAGTGGATAACGCTGTCAATGTCGGGGTGAGCCTCGAACACCTTGTCGAAGCTACCCTCCTCGGTGACATCGAGCTGGATGAACTCGGCCTTCTTCCCGCAGATCAGCTCAACGCGATTGAGGGCCTCAGGCGAAGAGTTGTAGAGGTTGTCGGCAACGACAACCTTGTAGCCAGCCTCGAGGAGGGCGAGGGTGGTGAACGAGCCAATGTAGCCCGTGCCACTTTGCGGGGAATTAGCTTAAGTTCCAATCTAAGATCCCAGGGGATTCTTACCCAGCAACCAGAACTGAACCAGAAGGCATGATTGTGTTATGTGTAAAGAGGGGGGATATGGAGAGACGGAGAGAAGAGCAAGAGCAAGCAAAAAGCGAGGGGCAGCTTTTAAGGGGAAATTCGGATGTGGGGGGGGATCCGGTGCACACCACGTGGGTATGTGATGATGCGGCCTGGGTTGATATTCTTTTGTGTTTTGTATTTATATTTACTATGATCACAGCTATTGGTCTATTTCGCCTCGAATTTCTCCGTTCTGTCCCGATTGCTATTAGACCATTGTTGATGCGGAACATTATGTACATACTATGTGTTATGACGACGATCGTGGCGGTGAAAACAGACCTGAAAGTCGAAACAGGTAAGGATATGCAAAGATGCAAAGAGAAACCCCTTCAATCTCCCCCCAAATCCCCTGAAACTCCTTTCCTGCAAACAACATCGTTTCAGTTGTGCCGGACAGGGACAGCCGCAAGGGGGCATTCAGGGCCGAGTTCGTTCTCGGAGAATGCTCGGCATTTATTTACTATATTCATGGACAAGCGAAGTGAAATTGGTATTGGAAAAAAAAAGTAAAATAAACCGGGTTCAGGTATAATAATACAACCTGATTTTGGCAGGGCCCAGATTCCCTGGTAGTTGCATTTTAGCAACATAGGGGTATGAGACTATTCAGAGTACTCAAAGCGGAAGTGTTGACATGCCAAGGGTATATACCCAAGACTCAAAATCAAAATAGCCCAAGTGGCTACTTATTTAACCAAGGAGCTCAACATCCAGACCAATGGCCCGCATGAAAAGGTTGACGTTGTTCAATCGCTGACTGCCCATATCGGCAGGAAGGGTCTTGCTGTAGCCCACGGTTTCCATGACACGGTCCCTATAGGAAATTAATTAGCACTGTTTCTCTACATTAGATCGAAACGGGAACGCTCACTTGACGGCAATAACTAGACGCTGCTGCTGCTCAGGACTAGCGCCAATGCCCACGGCAGCAAGGAACTGCCACACATACATATCGTCGCCGGAGCTGATCGATCCAGGGAAGATCTCATTTAATCCGAGTTCCAACGTATCAAACAGCACGTTGAACTTCTCAACCCACTGCTGCCAATCGTGCTCGGAAGCCTGACCGGCCTCCTTGACAATCTCGGCACGACTGAGCAACATGGTCAGAATGCCCAATCCAACCTTGGTGCGAGCCACGGTCTGCACATGGGTTTGGTTGATAACCAATCCCAAAAGACCAATAATAATGTTGAAGGGCGCTTCGTTCACGTATCCCAAAAGGCAGGGCATGACGGCCAGCGAGAACAGGTCAATGGCTTCGCGCACACCGAGGGATGGCTGGGCCTCACCCGGCACAGGCTGAGCAAGACGGACCACGTCCAGGCTATCCAGGTGGACCACAATCATGGTGAGGATAGTGACACGTTGTTCCTGGTCAATGTGACGGAAGATGCGAGGAATGGCCTTCTTGCCCTTGGGGTATGACAAGAATGCGATAAAGGGGTGTGGTGTCGTCGAGTTAGGCACAATTGGTTCCATCACCTTCAACGACCGCCACAACTTCTGGTTGAGCGAGTGAAGCTTCTGTCTCCATTCCATGTGTTCTTGGATTGCCTCGGCGTCGCCTTCCTCAGGGGGTGGCGGCATCGTGCGCTCCATATCTTCCATTGCCATCAATGCACTGTAAACACCTTCGAGATTCGTAAGGATCGACTTGCGGTCACTGAGACTCAGATCCGACTGCTTCTTAGGCTTAGGTCCTTCTGAGCTATCAGGGCGCTTAATGTTCAACATCGGCTTGGGTGCCTTGGCATTGCTAAATGAGATTTTGCCCAAGCTACCCTCAATGATGAGCTGCTTGTTCTTCGGCTTGGCCTTTGCCGCCTCAACCGCACGCTGGACCTGCTGCTGCATTCGCTGCATGTGGTTGTCGGCACTCTGGAAATTTCCCCGACGATGTCCGCCAAGCCGGTTACCCGTCTGGAGCAGATAAGTCTGGGCGAAATGACCAAGGGGTTGGTGGGGGTGTTGGCGGGGTGCGCCACGAATCTGGCTGTAGACCTGGTAGTAAAAGTCCTCCGCCAGCACGGCCTCGGGGTCCGAATCTGCGACATTTCCAGCAGCCGCGACCAGCTGTTGCAACTGGATACGGGTGATGAAATTCTTGTCCTGCGGTGTCATCAAACCATTGCCTCGGGACAGGAGGAAGATCTTGTGGTTGCGCTTGGCCCGCTTGGCATCCTCCACCAAATAAGTGTTGCGCTGTTCTTCCGTGAGATGCATGAGTTGCTGCGGGTTAGTGATCACCGGCATTCCATTGCTGGAGACCCGGTTAGGCGGTGGCACTTGATGTTGAAGAGGTTGCTGGGGTTGCTGAGGGCGCTGGGCCTGGGCCTGGGGTGGACCGTGGCGCGGGCCAGGAGGCGGCATGTTTTGCGGGGGAAGGTTGGCGTTTTGCATCATATGCAACGGCGCACCAGGTGGCATATGTCCAGGGCCGCCATAAAGCTCTGGCATACCAGGCGGTGGGTGTGACATTTGCGGGGGGAGGTGGCCCTGTTTCATCTGTGCCTGGAGGAGCTCTGGATGCACCGGAGGGAATCCATCAGGACGCGTCGGGAGGTGCTGCGGCTGAGGTACCCAAGGCTGATCCACCATAGAACGCAGAAAGGCTTCTGCGGCTGGGGATGCGGTAGTATGGCCATGATAACGCATCTGTGCCTCGACCTCTTCCAAGCTCATCATCTTCCGGCTCGGGGCAGCGGCAGCGGCAGCGGGTTCGGCTTTCTTCTGCGAGACACCCCATACGCTAGATTTGGCTTGCAAGTCTGGAATATAACCGGGATCCGAATACTTCTCATAGCCTGAGCGCTTGGTGGTCTGGGGGGCAGTAGGCTGAACAGGAACTTGGGCGGGCTGGGGGGCGACTCGGCCTGCGTTGGGATTTTGCAGGCTAAATCGAACCTGTTCCTCTCCAATGGCGTCGGAAACCTGAGCAGTCTTTCCAAAGAAATCAAAGTCTCTGCCAACGGATTTATCAGGGCCGGCTCCGCCAAACGTGTCATCGTTGAACTCGTCCTGGTCGTCGGAAAGCTGATCGCCAAGACCATCGTAGGTATCCTCGAAATCAATCCTAAACAATGATGAGTACAATCATTCATTCCAAGCTATTCAAAAAAAGATAAGCTCACACGTCGTCATCTCCCAGCGCATTAGCTCGAGCAATGTCGGCGAAGGGATCTGGGTTTTCGAAGAACCCTTTGGCCCCTGGACCATCACGGTCCCTGGGTAGGGTTGTATCAAATCCAAAGAAAGCCATCCTCTAGATGAGGAATGGGAAAGAGGTGGGGAGGTGAATGACTTAGTGGGGGGAAGTTGAGGAAAGGTGCGATCGATGGACGGGAAGTTCTGGAGTGCGTATGCCTCAGGCAGAAATGCTTTTTTGCCAAGCCATGTCGATCGTCTCTGTGCAGCTTTCAGCTTCTTGATATGTAATGATATTAAGAAAAGATCAAGAGATAAAAAATGTTGTAGAGCAATTTATTCAAGGCATTAAGAGTCTATCTAGTATACCTTGGCCCTATAACTACACATGTACATTATACAATGTATACACTCGAAAGAGTAACAACAAGTCCACCAAGTCAACAAAGAGATAACCAACTATAACGAGAATCCTTTCCCCTTTCTCTGATACAAGTGGAATTGACATCATCGCCTTCGGGATCAAATACGGCTCTTACAGACGCGTACCTAATAATATCTCCTGACTAGAACGTCTCAAATTGGGTCACACCCCAAGTGGCTGAAAGCGGTTGTCATTGTCTTGCGCGGCCTTTCATCTTTTTCAACCTTTAATCTCTCCCCCCCCCCCTAAAACACCTTCGGGATTTCCAGTAGGGCCTTCTCACTTTTGCTTATCTTCCATCCTCTATTGATGTCGCTCACTTTTTAATCTGGATTGGTTCCAACCGCGCCAATCTAACATCCGTTGTTGCCTTGCCACTGAACGGGGGAAACCATCATTCCTCCCCCCACATCACCATGTCCATCTCTATTCGATATGCGCGCTACCTACTCTTTGCCGTTGTGGTCAGTATCTTTTCAATGTCCAATATCCATTGCTAACGTTGACTAGGGATTGGCGGTCTTTTTTTTCGTCTCAAAATCCTCCATCCCGATGCCTACTGGCGGGTTAACCGCTCCTGCATCCAAGACCTCACCCACATACGAATCAGTCAAGTCGCAAAAACCGCAAGTTATCGGTCCACACCAGGGCGAACGGGTAAACGCCACCTTTGTCACCCTCGCGCGCAACTCCGACCTTTGGGAGATGGTCAAGTCCATTCGAACAGTCGAAGACCGTTTCAACACCAAGTACAACTATGATTGGGTGTTCCTGAACGATGACGAGTTCGATGACGAGTTCAAGAAATTGACCACCGCACTGGTCTCAGGCAAAACTCATTACGGTGTCATCCCCGAGGAACACTGGTCGTACCCAGAGTGGATCGACCAAAACAAGGCTAAAGAAGCGCGAAAGGAGATGGACCTCAATAAGATCATTTACGGCGGTTCGGAAAGTTACCGCCATATGTGCCGTTATGAGTCTGGGTTCTTCTTCCGCCACCCGCTCATGCTGAACTATGAGTACTACTGGCGCGTCGAGCCTAGCATCGAGCTCTTCTGTGATATCGACTCCGATCCGTTCCGCTTCATGAAGGAGAACAACAAGAAGTACAGCTTTGTCATCAGTCTGTTCGAGTATGTGGCGACCATTCCCACCCTGTGGGATAGCGTGAAGAAGTTCACAGGCAGTCACCCCGAGTATATTGCCAAGGGAAATGCCATGGAATTCATCAGCAATGACGGTGGAGAATCATACAACAACTGCCACTTCGTAAGTACTTCAAATTGGGTTAAAATTGAGCCTCGCTAACCTTTCCGCCAGTGGTCAAACTTTGAGATTGGCAGCTTGGAGTGGCTGCGATCCGACGCATACATTGACTATTTCACGTCTTTGGATAAGGACGGCGGTTTCTTCTATGAGAGATGGGGTGACGCACCAGTTCACTCCATCGCCGCTTCTCTAATGTTGAAGAAAGATGAAATTCACTTCTGGGATGACATCGCCTACTACCATGTCCCATTCACGCATTGCCCGTCGGATGAAAAGAAACGTCTGGACTTGAGATGTTCTTGCCAACCGCAAGACAACTTTGATTGGAAGGATTATTCTTGTATGTCCATAACCCTCCGATCTATATCTCTGCTACAAAACTAATTATGATACAGGCACCAAGAAATGGTTCGATGTCAACAAGATGGAGAAGCCGAACGGATGGGATAAGACATACGACTGAGTTACTTGTCTTGTCCAATCCCTCTGGGTCTCTTCATCAATGGCCCAATCTTTTCCTTATTAGCGACAATGCGCGGGTCGGTTGTCTCGTCTGGATACGAAGCGCTGCGGATTTTGGAGGCTGACGGTGTCGCCCATTTGCGCGGCAAATGCCAAAATCGGTTAAATCTCCGTACACTTTGCCTACTGCTCTGCTCGTGGTAGGTAAAACACATGGCGAAGCAATATGCTATTCGATTTTACCAAGCTTGGGCAAAAATCTGCAGGTTTAGCTTTTTTACTGTTTCATTTTGATTCCCATTATCGCGTTGCCACAGGAGGCTTTACTGCAACGTCTGACATGTGTGTTATACAGGGTTTTCGGGCGTTTATCCTTTTTTGGGTTTTGCATAGGCCCGGAGCAAAGTGATATTCCCGGAACCATTTCCTATACCTCTTTTAAGAATTTCAAAGATATCAATACAGTTGACTCGAAGAGCTTGAATATCGAAAGAGATAGTATGATAATAAACAGTCGCAATCCGTAGTGTTACATGCATATATGAACAGAAAGAGGTTGCTCAGCGAAGAGCACAACAAGCCAAATCCAAGTAGCCCCGTGGAGCTATCTCTTATACAGCAGCTCATGAAACAAAGCAAAAATTGTATAATCTCACAGGTCAATGAACAACCTGTATCCCCGAGTCCATCTTAGTTGGTCTTAGGCTTCTTCGCACCGTATTTCGAGCGACTCGTCATGCGGCTTCCAACGCCACCCTAGAAGCATACAATCAGTACAAGATCTAGAAAAAAACATACATCCCGAAATCGGGTTTATAAAAACAGAAGCAAAAAAATGACTTACCAAATCCATCGCACCACGAACAAGGGTATACTTCACACCAGGACAATCCTGGGCACGTCCACCGCGGACCTGGACAACACTGTGCTGCTGGATATTGTGGCCTGTACAAGAAATTAGCCAAAAAAAATACCAGTAAAAGAACCAGCACCAGAGCAGAATCCAAATAATCAAGATTCTAGTTCCAATACCAATCCAATCCAATTGCGAATAATCTTACCTTCACCAGGAATATAAGCGGTAATAACCTTCCCGGAACTCAACCGAACTCTTGCAACCTTCCTCTCACCAGAGTTAGGCTTCTTAGGCTTGGTAACACCAGTCTTAAGACAAACACCCTTCAATCCAGGCGTACCCTTCAGCGCAGGTGATCCACCCCGACGAGCCCGCTGTCCGGTACGGATGCCGCGCCGGACCTGGTTGTACGTAGCGCGGATGATAGGCGAGCTGGAGAATTGCCGCGTTGGCACGGCAGAGAGGCCGAGGGCGGCTGTGCGGAAAACGGGGTGGAAGTTGAGGCGGGAGGTGATGGGAGATTGTTTCGAGACGAAGGAGATGGCGGGTGATGTGGTGATGGTGCGGCAGAGGGGCGAGGAGACCGCAGGACGGTGGATGAGAGTCCGTAGGGCCCGGAGGGCTATCGGGGAGAGTAATTGGGACATTTTGGGTGGTGTGCTGAGTGAGATTCTTTCCCCTTTCGCTGGATCGAGAATATCGCGATAGAATTGAGTTGGCCCGGCGGAGTGGAGAGCACGTGATTGGATATTGGGTTGGGTTGCTGCGTTGTTGGTTTCTCTCGTCTGTCGTAGGAGCTGGCCGCGCTGCTTCTCTCTGCCTGAAGCATCATCGGCGGTCATCTTGCATCCTCCCTTTACTCTTGTTTATATCTTTCGATCTCCTTTCCGAGCTTTGAATAGACACCCAGACTTGTCCAACCCGTGATTTCGATCCTTGAGCCCCGAACACCTACCATTATCCGTCATCATGGTACGTTATCAAGCTACGGACCTGGGCACCTCACCCTGGAGTCCAGCCCAATAAGCAAGCATCTAGAACCACCGTCACCATCACCAAACCCCGTCCCTCCAAACCAAACCCCCAATCCACCTCCAACCTTTGTCTCAAATACTCAAAACTAACAAAAAATCCCCCAGTCCCTCCGCATCGCCCCCCCAAGCGGCAACGCAACACACACGAGCAACCTCACAACCCGCCAACAAGCAGGCCTCCAAGCACCCCGTCCATCTAAAGGTGCTCCCTCCGCCCCAGGACTCCCTGACACGCTCCGCAACAAGCTCACGCAGACCGCCACCGCGCACGCGTCGTCTACCAACTCCAGCGGCGAGGTTCCGTCATCTACGCACCCTCTCGAGGCACGACTTATCGCGTGGCGGGCTACACAGGATGCCATGAAGATGGAGGGACTGCGTCGGGCGTACGGTATTGCTGAGCCAGTTCGTCGCGGGATGGAGCTGAAGATCGTTCGGGATGGGACTTTCCGTCCTGCTGTGCTTGGCGGTTTGCGGGGTGGGAATATTCATGAGGATATTCTTGTTATTGGGGGACGGGATAGTGAGGTTCAGTGGGAGGATATTTACCATGGTATGTTTTGTTCTTATGTGGTATTTTGGTTTGGAGTTTGGGCTGACTTGGTTGATTTAGGTGATGATCTCCGTGAGCCGCCTGCTTTCCATGATGAGATGGAGAAGAGGCTCAAGATGGATTTCTAATGGCTTTGATGATATGGTGTTCTTTTGTTTCTCTGCTTTTTTATGTCGATGTGTTCTACTATTCTCCTCTTACGTCCCTCGTCATACTCCTACCTTATGTCGTCAAATAGAATGATAGATCACTGGACTTGATGCATTTCCGATGTGTCTGACTGTTTGTTATCAAGGCAGGGCAGTACTCTCGATATATTGAATCAATCCTTGGTCTGTTTCTACAAATAAGTCTGGCAGCACCACATCCAGTGTGATATTATAAAGGTCTCTACGGTATGAGTGGACAGCGTGCTACTCCGAATTGATCGTCGACCCCAAATGCCTGGCCAGCAATTCCAACCCAGACCCCGGAAATATATAGGCACTTGAAAAGTTATTTAATATATGACAAAGAAACATGGATGTAAACCTTCTCCAAAACACCCTATACACTACGACTAACCACCGCAGGCAGTTAGAAAAAGCAAGCAAAAGGAATGAAACACGAGAGACGGCGGGATAGAGAAAAGGGGTCAAGGTCGTAAGTACACGAAAGTCCATGAGGAAAGAAACCATACAGGGGAAATGATAGAGCACAAAGAAAGGGAAAGTCGGATTGGAGGGGGTATATATCGAAAAATCGGGCAGTGGGGAAGAAGTAAGAATAATGGTGACAGCAATGCGAAAAGCAAATAATGAATCTCAGATAGTGCCCTCAGAAGACACGAAATACTCCGGAGAAGATCCATGTAGATGAATGAGGCCCCCATGCAGACGATACAGCGATGAGAGAACAAGGGGGGCCGGGCCTAACATGGCGCAGAAATAAGAGCAACAAGTCGAAAACTATGGTCCCAGGATGGAGGTGCAGTCAGAAGAAAATGTCCAAACGCCGCTTCCAGAGCGCCCATGTTGGCTCAGAGCAGGGATGTCGATCCTGCGTCCAGGCAGAATTAGGCGCATCGCTGCCATGGCAGGTAGATGGGGGGTGGAGAGGTTGACAGACAGACAAGGGGAGGTCGGGTAGCAGGGTGGAAGGATGTAAGCAGCAGACAACAGTATTGCTAGAAGCCGTCCGTCCACACTTGAGACCCGTAGCTGGGGCAGCGAGATTATAGAATGATGCATCGACATCCCGGACTGCGCTCACTGGCTTCGCCCTCCCGGCTGTACTGTGCCTTTGCTCCCTTTGCATCTTCCTCGTCGACGACTTCTTGCGGCTTGACGGTCATATGAACGACGTTAGGATGTTCTTTGCTGAACTTGGAGTCTGGTTGGTTTGTTAATATCAAATTCTATAACCATAATGCAATGCAAAAAACATACCAGAAACAGGTGATTTATCATCCAACAACTTCCCGAACGAGATGAGACGGATCGAGCTCGGTGATGAGGGACGGGTCTCCCAATCTACATCGACAAGAGTGTTAGCTTGACTATTCTCATTCCACGACATCTTCCATCAAGATGCATTCTGCCCATGTAAAGGTCGGGGGTCAAAGTCTTACCAACTCTCCACTCGCGCCAAATCAACTCCTTCAGCGTGTAGACGCTCATCAAGAACGGATCAAAGTTCTCAACATTCACCGATCGCTTCTTGAGATATTTTCCATCGATAGTAAACGGGTGGCGCGATCCCGTTGTCAACAAGAGGGTAATCACCAGGGACGGACCAGCATCCTCCTCAAGTTCTTTCCCAGAACCGTCATCAGAGTGCTCTGTTGAGGTCTCTGGTGCAGTCTTTGGCTCGTCTGTCTCCATTGAAGGCGGTGTAGTTTGTTGTGCCAGCGCGACGGGTGCGTTGTCGGTGACTTGAGGAGGGTTGGTCGGAGATGTTGTCACGGGGGCGGTTTTGGTTTCGCCACCGGGGCCAGTTGCGGGGTGGATTTCGGTCTGAGTTTCGGGTGTTTGATCATGGACGGATAAGATGGACGTATCAGCGACAAGGTCTGGTTCGGCTTGGAGCTCTGTGGTTGGTGCTGTGATCTGTTGATCCTGCGGAGATGTGATTGGGGGTTGGTTGATATCTTTGGTGTTTGGCCCCGACTCCGGGTGATCGGTAGACATTTTAAGATGCCCCGATGGCAGTTAACAATTGACTTATCCCCGTAGGAAAAGGGAGGCTGTCAAGTTTGGCAAGGGTATTCCGTGAGAGGAATGAGAGGAGATGGAGAGGATGTGAGGAGTCAAGAGCGGGAGGCGCAGGATAATACCTCAACTAGTGTGGATGAAACGACTGTACATATATGTACCCCCGAAATGATAATCAAATTGTACTGAATAGGTTGGAGGAAAAAAAGAAGGCAGGGGATCTGCAAGCCTAACTTCTTGACCCTAAACTTGATTGAAACTGCTATTTCCCCTATTTTTGAGTCAAAGAAAAAAACACAGGATTGTAATGATTTTATAATCTAATACTTTAGTACTTCAACACATTAATATTTAATATCATTATCAATGTAAATAGAGAATATTAATTGAAGATCCGGGGAAACTAGTTAGGCCAAGACAAGGTCCATCGAGCTTGTCTACGCTAATAGTACGATGTTGTAGATCTGGACATCTGGATAGTTGCATCGACAGGTCACTTTCTCCATATAAGTATCTCTGTCTTCTCTATAGTCTGTAGTACTCCGTACGACAATTGAGATCTCATGACTACAATATAACA